TTAAATTATCAGTGTCTAATAGCACAATCGAATGCGAAACACAGGTAGTACACGCCGCCCGATGATGCGTCTAGCGCGAGCCACCGGTGGTACACGCCGCCTGATGGCACAATCAAGCGCGAGCCACCGGTGGTACGCGCCGCCCGATGGCGCAATCAAGCGCGAGCCACCGGTGGTACGCGCCGGCGTGAACGTGTTAAAGGATCGCTACAATAACGATCGGCTAATTATACTGAAACACGTAAACGAAATTCTTTGCGCCCCTCCATTGAAAAAACCTGACGGAACTCAATTAGGGCAATTACTCACTACATTGCAAAGACATGTAAGGGCTTTAAAAACCTTAAAACAGCCAACGGATACGTGGGATGCGCTCCTTATAGGGATAATTCTGTCCAAATTTGACAAAGACACTCGCGATCGCTGGGAAGACACACTTACGGACACCAAAATGCCGACTATCAAAGAAATGACGGACTTCCTTGATAAGCGTAGACAGACACTTGAGGCAACGTATGTAAAAGCGCGCCGTCTCGAAGTTCTAATGTTAGTCATCGCTCAAATCACCGTCACCAAACGTTTCATGCGTCAAATACAAAATCATCCTGTTTAGCGTGTAAGGAAATTCACCCGTTGCGCGAATGTCCCGCGTTTGAACAAAAGAACGTGAATGATAGATGAAATTTCGTTAAGCAAAAGGGGCTTTGCATGAATTGTCTAAAGGCGAACCATCAGGCACAAGAATGCCGATCTATTCATTGTCGTAAATGTCCGAAGAAGCATCATACTCTATTGCATTCGGACTCGCAACGTTCAGCATCCAGTATCTCGCCGCAGCCCTCGACAAGCGTAGCGCTCCATGCTCACACTTTAACTCAGGTAGTTTTGTCAACCGTGAAAATCTCAATTGAAGATCGACAAGGACAGCGACATATTTGTCGAGCACTGATTGACCCAGGCGCGCAATCGCATTTCATTACGGAGAAATTCGTCGAAAAACTACAGCTTGTTAAACGAAAAACTAGCATCCCCGTCACAGGTTTAAATCAAGTACCAACTAATATAAGACACGTGATTGATACAAGGATCAATTCAATCGACAACGAATACAACAGGAAATTGACATTTTTGATTATCCCTGAAATCACCCAGCAGCTTCCATGTCAGCCAATCGATGCTGCACGACTTGATTTACCGGAAAACCTGCCATTGGCCGATCCTGCCTTCCACATTCCTGCCAAGATCGACGCTTTATTAGGAATGGAAATCTTTTATGATCTCCTTCGTAATGGTCAAGTTAAGATTGGACGTCACGGAGCAATCTTACAGAATTCACAATTAGGATGGTTAATCGGAGGTCGAGCATTAGCAGAAAGTTACACGCAAGGCTCCCATTGTTATTTAAACACAACTTCACTGCACAAACAAATGGCACAATTTTGGGAGATTGAAGAGGGACCAGAGGCGACAAGGCACTCCCCAGAAGAGGCAGCATGCGTTAAACATTTCCATGAAAATATTGAGCGTGATCATACAGGTAGATTCGTTGTAAGGCTTCCTTTCAATCAAAATATTAATAATCTTGGGGAATCCCATCAGAACGCACGGCGTCGATCTTACGCGTTAGAGAAAGAGCTACAGCTGAATCCAGAAATGAAGGAACATTACATCAGTTTTATGCAGGAGTATATTACTTTACAACACTTGGAATTAATTTCGAAAACTGCTAGATCAAGGGAAGGTTATTATTTACCGCACCACCCAGTCATAAAGGAAGATAGCTCAACAACAAAGGTCAGAGTAGTCTTCGATAGATCCGCGAGAACAACGTCAGGTCTCTCCTTAAATGATATGTTGATGTCTGGACCGACAGTTCAAGATGACGTTTTCACCCTCCTAGTGCGATATCGCTCATTTCCGGTTGTTCTTTCCGCTGACGTCGAAAAAATGTTCCGTCAGATATGGATACATCCAGAGGATCGCACATATCAACGCATCTTGTGGCGAGAGAAACCAGAGGATGAACTGAAAACTTGTGTTCTAAAAACGGTCTCTTACAGATTAAAACCATCTCCCTATTACGCCGTAGGAGTATTGCGAACTTTAGCGAAACAATATGAATCCAAATTTCCTCGTGCGGCAGCAGCGACTTTGCGAGATTTTTATATGGACGATCTCCTTTCTGGTGCAGATACCCACGAGGAAGCAGCTTTACTCAGGCATGAACTAATCCAATTAGTGAAAGAAGGAGGATTTTATTTAAGGTAGTGGGCCTCAAACGCTCCTAAATTAATTCAAAACTTACGGAGAACAGGCGTCAACCAAAAATTATTGCAGGATGAAAATTCCACCTTGAAGACATTAGGAATTTCCTGGAATTCAACGGACGACACAATAATTTACACGATCACTCATCAAGAAGATTCGCGAAAACATACCACGAAAAGGAAGATTATTTCTCATACTGCAAGACTATTTGATCCTTTAGGACTACTAGGTCAAATAATTTTACGAGCGAAACTGATTATGCAACGATTGTGGCAGCTACAAACAACATGGGACGAATCTATTCCAGAGGACATTTACAGCGAGTGGCAAAACTATCTAGTCACGCTCAATAACCTTGATCGCAACAGTGTACCAAGATGTATATTACTAGGAGGTTCGGCATCGATCCACTTACATGGATTCTGCGATGCGAGTATCCGAGCATACGGTGCATGTGTCTACCTTTTATGCACTACAGCTGACAGACGTCGAAGTTGTAGTCTAATTTGTTCAAAATCCCGTGTCGCGCCTCTGAAAACTGTTTCACTTCCGAGACTGGAATTATGCGCCGCCGTTCTCTTAACGAAACTAGTCAAAAGGACTCGAAAGGCCTTAAATCACATTACGATAGACTTGACGACATTTTGGTCCGATTCCGAAATAACTCTTTGCTGGATCAATACTGCCCCTCATACGCTGAAAACCTTCATTGCGAACCGCGTCACTGAGATTCAATCCAGTACTACCACTCAACAATGGAGGCACGTCCCGTCAGCCGACAATCCTGCAGACCTCATATCACGTGGTCAATTTTCAACACAATCATCGGCAGAGTCATCGCCAAACTCTCTTTGGTTTCATGGACCGTCATGGCTGCTGGAAGACCAAGACATATGGCCAAAAAACCGACCTCTCCTTAACAAGGCCCCTGAACAGAAAACTGTAGTTTCCCTCACAGCCGTAGTAGCCGAATTTTCTTTTTTCATCAGATTTTCTACATGGACAAGGTTATTACGCGTCACCTCATATTGTTTCCGATTTTTGTACAACAGTCGACATGCAGATAAACGAGTAGGTCCTCTCAATACTGAGGAACTGAGCGCTGCGCAAATCCGCATAATCAAGGTTATCCAGGGACAAGCCTTTTCATCCGAATTTCATCAATTAAAGCAAATCCGGGAGATCAGTCCTTACAGGTAAAATATTGCCACTAAATCCTTTCCTAGACAAAAACGACTTAATTCGCGTCGGCGGAAGAATTAGACGAGCGTCAACTCCATACGATCAGCGCCATCCCATAATATTACCAAAGAATAATCACGTCCTACGTTAATAATACGAGATGCTCATGAACGATTCTGGCATGCAGGAACCCAAGCTACCTTGTACGCGATCAGGCAAAATTTTTGGATAATTGATGGGCGTAACGCGGTAAAGGGTGTCATTCGTAAGTGCGTAAGATGCGTTAGGGCGAAGCCGGTAGCTCCTAATCACTTGATGGGCGATTTGCCAGAGACAAGGGTAACTCAAGCAAGACCATTTTTAAATTGCGGCGTGGACTATTGCGGCCTGTTCTATATAAAGGAAAAGAAGTTCCGTAACCAAAAGAAATTAAAAACTTATGTTTCGATATTCGTATGCTTCGCTACGAAGGCAGTGCATATCGAAATTGTTACCGATCTTACGTCTGAAGGATTTATCGCAGCACTTAGGAGGTTCGTGGCTCGGCGTGGCATTTGTAAAAATCTGTATTCAGACAACGCATCAACATTTATCGGAACCAAGAACGAAATCGCAGAAGTTCAGGCCCTTCTTACATCCGAAGCACATAACCAAACCGTAACTACCGACTTAACGCAACGCGGAATTAGTTGGCATTTCATTCCACCTAGAGCTCCTCACTTTGGTGGAATTTGGGAGGCCGCCGTAAAATCGTTTAAACATCATATGTTAAGAGTTCTCGGAAATACGTTATTTACCTTTGAAGAATTGTATACTTATACAACCGAAATCGAAGCGATTCTCAACTCGCGACCTCTTACTCCTTTATCCTCAGACCCAAATGACCTATTAGCATTAACCCCTAGCCATTTCCTTATTGGCGACTTTATGACAAGCATCCCGGAACGAGACTTCATGGAAACGCCCACTAATCGTCTATCCTCGTGGCAGCATATCCAAAAATTAAAACAGCATTTTTGGAAAAGGTGGCATCACGAGTATTTAAACGAGCTTAATGTACGAGGAAAGTGGCAATCCAGGGTCCCTAACGTCAAAAACGGAACTATGGTTGTCTTGCGAGACAATAACATTCCACCCTTACAATGGCAACTTGGCCGCATCACCAACATTCATCCCGGACAGGACGGAGTCATTCGGACAGTTATCGTACGAACGGTGAATGGAGATTTCATCCGGCCCATCAAGGCGCTAGCACTATTACCGGTGGAAATATGTGAAGTTTCTCATGAAACTTAGTTAATTTTAATTCAACCAATCATTCGAGATCGTCTACGCATTTTTTCTTTGAACCTCGTCGGTTCAAGGGCGGCGGAATGTTTGCGCCTTTATTTAGCGCTAATGAAAGGGACCCGAAGTTGTTATCCGTAGCGGATGTTTGTCTACGATTATCGAAATCGAGGATTTTCCCTGCCGGGTCCGATTATCGTAATCCCTTAAATTTGGGCCTTCCCGATGGAGGCCGGCCCCTTGAGGTTTAACCCCACTCCACCGCCCTTCCCTCTAGATGGATCGACGTGCGTCACACGGGACCAGCCAATAAACTGTGGCCTTCACCCACTCTTCCAAATTTTTGCGATGTCTTGCGTTGCATCCATTTTTAACATAATTCAGAATCCTTTTTGAAATCAAGCGAAAATATACATGTACAAACCAGAGCCACTGTTTTGAGTACTTTCCTTCCATTTCAGTGGAACGCGAATTTTACCCCACGATTTTCGCGAGTAACCTCCGGGCATCGCCTTACGGTTACATTTTTGGTCCTTCGAGACGGATATCGCGTTCATCACGTGCCGAATCCGCGACGAAAACGAGACAACATACGGCGACGACAGTGAGTTCAAGCGAGTTCATTGTTCGTCAAGCAAATAGACAATCCAAGGGACGATTAGTCTTCAATTATTGTGACGCAAGTATTAGTGTCCCATTCATCCCATACAACGCAAGGACTGCTTTGGCCTAGGACCCAAGAGGGTCACAAATGTACAATCCAAGATCGTGGTGCCAGGCACATACTTTGCAACACGTTGAAAAGGACGCTGCAGGAAGGCTCAGCTGTTCCAATCAACGAAGCGGAAGCAGAAACTACGAATAGTCCATCAATTAGTGAGTCCTGAAGTCGCTACTCCCTTCTAGTATACCCCCGGTCATTTTCCTGCGAGTTGAGATAACCAACTAGACATTATGGCGGAAGCGCAGATGACCGTAATGAAACATAGGCGGGAAATTTGCAAATCCCAATTGTCGCGATTCCAAAAGGCGATCTCAGAATGCTGCGATGCGATTCAAATCCCCGCGCTAAAATCACAGTTAATTAGAATTATGGATACATGGAAGGACTTTGACTGCGTACAAACGGAAATCGAATTGACACAACTTAACAATTCAGAAGTACCGACCGAACAACAGGACCGCGTAGATTTTGAGATGACATGGCATGAATGCGTAGGACAAGCTAATGAACTCATTCAAAGATTCCAAAACACTACCACGGTATCATCTACATCTGCCGCGAATAACAGCTTTGCCTCACTAACAGTACAAGGTCTTAATGTTCACTGCCGATTACCGAAAATCGAACTGCCTTCGTTCGACGGGTCTTATGACAAATGACTTAATTTCCGTGATTCATTTATATCCATGATCGATGCAAACACCGGGCTTCCCACCATTCAAAAATTACATTACTTACGCTCTTGTGTTGAGGGAGAAGCTGCGGACGTAATCCATTCCCTAGAATTATCCGAAGATAATTATCAAGTCGCTTGGACATTATTAACACGTTCCCGTCGGCGCCAATTTTCATTTGATTCCCCCAACGGCAGCACACAAATCTATGTCGCGCTTCATCTGGCGGCGCGCATTTCTCGCGTGTTCAGACTTGCACGCGCTTCTTGTTTCTTCAGTATTACATTGAGCGCTTACTTTGCAAATTATGTGACTCGTGCCGTTTTTTATATCCTAACCACAGATTTCTGTTAGTAAAAATAACTAAAAGGTGGTT